ATCCTGATTTCTGGGCCTCATCCTCCGGAAATTCTTTCTTTGTTATGGGGTGGGGCCCCAGAAATCAGGATTTTAAAAAGATTCCCAGGTGATTCTAATGTGCAGCCAAGGTTGAGAACCGCTGGCATGGAGCCTTGCTAGGATGTGATGGAAAGGGTGATTTAGCTCAGCGGTCCTCTTCTCTCCCTTTTTAAAAAATCTGTTTTTATTGATTTCAGGGAGGGGGGAGGGGAGAGAGAGAGAGAGAGAGAGAGAGAGAGAGAGAGAAACATCAATGATGAGAGAGAATCACTGATCAGCTGCCTCCTGCACACCCTACACGGGGAATCATGCCCACAACCCGGGCATGTGCCCTGACCAGGAATTGAATCCTGACCTCCTGATTCATAGGTCAACGCTCAACCAGTGAGCCACGCCGGCCGGGCTGCGGTCCCCTTCTCAATAGCCATTCTGTCTACTTGGGACAGAAACAGTAGACCAACCCTGAGAAACAGTCCTCCATCTGAGAGGACAGTCACAGCCAAGAGGAGTTGAGGAGACATGACTAATGCAGTGTGGGATCCTGGGACAGAAAACGGACCTGATGGGAAAGCCAAGGGTCTCTGAATAAGACTATAGACTTGAGTTCATCACAATGCACAAAGTTGTTTGATTATTGTGACAAATGTAGCAGACCATTGTCAAATGGTAGGTGTGGGAGTGTGGGAGTGTGGGAACTCCCAGCTATGGCCGGACGTCTATCTGTATATCTGAAGCTGTTCCGAAATGAAAAGTTTATTTGCAACATAAAAAGGAATTTATAAATCCTCTCAGGGGTGTGTGTGGAGAAGCGCAGCAGTGAACAAGGACGCTGTGCAGGGGCGGGGGTCAGGTTCCCCCTCTTGGACCCCAGGCCTGTGGCCAGCCTGGCGCCATCCTCCCCTCGCCAGCTGTGGGAAGCACAAAACCCTTCAAGGTGGATGGCAGCCTTCCCTTTGTTCCCAGCGAATTCTAATTGCAAAGCTCCTAGTGCGGTCAGCTCGCAGCAGAGGAGGCGCCCTGCACCCTCCGGCTGCCCAGGTCCTGGTGGGGCTTTGCCCCAGGGCAAGGCACCCTCCCACCCAGCCTGGTTCTGTGGGCCACTCGGTGGGGCCTGTAGCACCAGTGGCAACAGACACTGGGTCCAATTCTCAGACCTCCCTGGACAATGGGAGCCCTCCTTCCAGTGCTCCCTCCTCCCCTCACCCTCCTCCTGGGCTTACTCCACCCCCACCCCCACCGGCCTTTGAAAAGCTGCCCACCATGGCTGCTGTCTGGGGAACACAGCCCACACTGAGGACAGGGGGCAAGTATCTACGAGTATCTCAACCCCTCCTGCACCTGCTCCAGGACCAGCCTCACAGGGCTGTGCACACAAAGACTGGCAAGACAGGCAGAGGCTTAGACGGGGCTGGCAGAGACAGGCCCTTAGCTGGGATCCCGAGGCATCCTCCCCAGCAGCTGCTGGGCGGTGGGTGGGGGCAAGGTACACCTCACTGAAGCCCTGAGGACACGCCAAGAACACGAGGGCTGGAAACGCCGCTGCCTTTGTTCCGCTCAGGTGCCCCGCAGGCCCTGGCAACTGCCCTGGGAACACTGTGGCTTTGGACACTCCCACAGGCTGCGGGGGTCCGCACATCAGGAGCCAGCATTGCGGCCCCCAGCTCCCCTTTGGGGAGACTTTGGCCTAATTATCCGGTCTGAGAGGCTGGGTTCTTGGACTTCGAGCACCACACAAGCCCAGCTGCCCTGGCTAGGCGCCAGGGCAGGCTCGGGTCAGAGGGCTCCCTCGCCTTCCTGTCTAGCCTCCTGAAACGTGGCAGCTGAGCTGAGTCCTACAGGGCCAGAGGAGGTCAGCAAAGAAGAGGTGCCCCAGGCAGTGGGCCCCCACCAGGGCCAAGGGAAGAGAGGACAGCTTGGGAGGCAGCTGCTTTTCAGTACTGGGGGGCCCGCGGGCCAGCTAGTGCCCAATCTTGCAGCCATGGAGACGAATTGAGCTTGATCTGCAGTGTGAAGACAAAGAGCGGGTGGGGAGAGACTGGTCAGAGGTGTGCTGCTCGCTAGGAGAAGCGTGCAGTGCATGGGCCTCGAGGAGTGGTGAGCAGAGGAGTGGTGACATTGCCTGCTTGAGGAGGACTGGGGGAAGGGGAGGGAGGGGGCAGCCCGTTGCACCCCCCCCAGATGAGGAGCCCCCTGCATCAACATCTGGAGATACCCTTTTTTTCTTTTTCATAGTTCATGTCACTTCAATTGACCTGAATAAAATGAAATCTAGCAAATTTGAAAATACTGATTTAGTGCTAGCATCCCTCAACAATGGCAGTGGAAATTCTACAAGTGGAATTCGTAACCTATTACACAGAAGGCATATGCTCCACTGCTAAGTTAAATTCTATGCCAACAATGAGTCTTACACGCAAGCCACAAAATGTTGTCCATATTGTTGTAAAATGTCATTTATTTTCACTCCTATAACTTTTTATTTCTTGTGTTTTAAATGAATACTATATGGAGACACCCTTTGAAGGCAGCAGTCCCTGAAGCAGTGAGAACCTCGGCCACAGGAGTCCCGGAGCTCACACAAGCCCATTGTCAGCAGCCACTCCGACCCAGCCACCTCCCCCTCAGCCTCTGACCCCACAGAAGCAGCCGCAGCCACAGGTGGCTACATCCTCAAGGTCCAGCCACCAGCCTTGGAGCCTGCCTCCCCTCCCAGCTGAGCGATGGAGGGCCCCACCCTTGACTCCCTCCTCCTTGTCACGCTGCCCCGCCTTGCTCTTTTCACCCCGCGCCCTCACCCTCCCGGAAGCTGTGGCCACTTCCCCAAAGCACCATGGGCTGCGTGGGCTGGCCCACGTCCTTCTCCAGCCACGGCTTTCTCTCTCCACAAGCTCCTTGGACAAGCGTGATCTTGAGTCGCCTGCACCCAGACGCGGCCTCACTTCCCCCTGCTTCTCCCTGCGCCGTCTGCCCTCTGTCCTGGCCTCTCCACTGAAGCAGCCCTCACTATGGGGCCAGCTTCCCCAAGCCATCTATGGGTCGCCTACTTCCCTATTGCCTGTCTATCTCCAAGCCAGCGTCAGTCCTGGGCCAGAGAAGGCGCAAGTTGGGGTCTTCTGATGAGTAGAGCGACCCTAATAGCTCGAGGGTCTCCAAGCCCCCCTCAATCCCTCCCATCTCCCCCACATGCCACTTGAGGCTCCTCCAGCCAGCCTGGGTGGAGATGCTGCCCCTCCCTCACCTAGCAGGCTCAATCTGGCTCCAGCCGGAACTGCTTTACTTCTTAAAGCCACCGGATGGCTGAGGGTTTAGCTTAATGGGATGAGCCATCTGGGGACCACAGTGAGCCTGGGACTTGCGGAGGGTGGGGGGGGGCACACTTCACATACCCGACCAGGACAATGATCCCTTCCTTCCCCACCCCATGACTGCTCTGAGCCCTGAAAATTCCAAACAGGCTGCTCAGCTGCTAATGGAGAGGCAGCTGAACAACCTTGCTCTTGCCCTGGAGGCTCGAAGCGAGGTCCTGGGGGAGAGGTGTGTCAAGAGTGAGGAGCTGGGAACCCCCAACTGAGGCCTCTGAGGAGATCTGTGCACCCACTAGCACCAGGGGGCAGCCTTACCCGATTCCTACCTGAGTCTCCCGCAGGGATGGGGGCAGGAGGCGTCCCTACCACCACCCCCACCTTAACGACAAAATGTATCCTTGCACCTCAGCCAGACGGGCTCCCCTCTGCCCCCCTAAAAAGACTCATAGAGACCTGTCTCCCCAAACACTGGGATCCTGAACTCTGGCTTCCAAGGCTGCACCCCTTGGGAAGGGCTGATGCCAGGAGGAGGCAGGGTGGTGCCTGTGACAAAGCCCCACAGCACACCTGGAGGCAGACATCCCCATCCCAACCTTTCCCTGTGGCCAGCTGGGCCCAGCCCTTCAGGAGGCCCAAGCACCCCGCATCCCCTCTGGTACCCAACCCCGCCCCAGCCCCCTGGACGGGAGTCAGAGAGAAGGAGAAAGGAGGGGGAGAAGGAGAAAGGAGGATAAGGATGGCTGGAGGGCAGCCAGGGGAGCGGCTCTTCTAGCTCCGGGGAGGGCAGGTTAGGAGTGGCCATCTGGGCAGGGGTAGGCCCAGGTGAACCTGGGGACAGGGGTGGTTGGGCCTCGGGAGGAGGTGCTGACGGTGCCTCAGGTAGCAGCCATCCCGCTTCCCGCTGGAGCCGCGTCTCCTCCTCGGGAGGAGGGCGGGAGGAGGTGGGCGGAGTGACGGGGAGGGCAGGAGGGAGGGACGGAGGAGGGGGAGGGGGAGCAGCCCGGTCGTGGGGGGTGGGGCGACAGTGACATCACCCCGGAGTCTGTTCTTAAGCAGCAGCCGGTCAGGGCGAGGAGAGGGACAGTCGGAGAGCGGTAGCGAGTCACTGAACCCACCGCGGCCCGGAGAGCGGCTGGAGCCGCCGCCGCCGGGAAGGAGGGGCGAGTGCGCCCGCGCCGCCGCTGCCGCCGGAGCCGGAGCCGCCGGAGCAGGAGCCGCGGGCGAGCCAGACAGTCGTGCGGGCCCGGGCCGGGGCGGGGGGCGCGGGCCGCAAGCCCATGCTCCGGCCGCAGCTTGCAGACAGTGGGCGCCCGATGCCGCCCGTGCCCCGCTAGGCTGAGCCTCGGGCCGGGCGAGCCGCCGCCGCCGCCGCCCGAATCGCGCGCGGGCAGAAGCCTCGGGAGTCGCCACCGCCGCCCGAATCGCGGGCAGGAGCCTCGGGAGCCGCCGCCGCCGCCCGGCCGGCCCCGCCGCCGCCCGCGCGCCCCCGGGCCCCCGACACACATGAGATTCTTCAGGCTCACTTTCAAGTGCTTCGTGGACTGCTTCTGACCGCGCCGCCCGTACCCCCGCACCCCACCCGCCGCCCGCCCGCCGCCCCGACTCCGGCCCGGCCGCCCCCGGCCGGCCCGCGCCTTCGGGGCCCCCAAGCCGCCGGTGCCCCCCGCCATCCGACCCCCGGCCCGGCCGCACCACCCGCTGGGACCATGGCGAAGAAGAACGCCGAGAACGGCATCTACAGCGTGTCCGTAGACGACAAGAAGGGTCCGCTGATCGCGCCCCTGCCCGACGGGGCCCCGGCCAAGGGCGATGGCCCCGCCGGCCTGGGGGCGCCTGGCGGCCGCCTAGCCGTACCTCCGCGCGAAACCTGGACCCGCCAGATGGACTTCATCATGTCGTGCGTGGGCTTCGCCGTGGGCCTGGGCAACGTGTGGCGCTTCCCCTACCTGTGCTACAAGAACGGCGGAGGTGAGCGCCCCCGCTCCTCCGCGCCACCCACCCTCCCCCGCCCGCCACCCGCCCCTTCGGGGCTCACGGGTGAAGTCCAGGGGGTGGGGAAGGCCCCCGGGGCAGTCGGGGGCCAGGGGCCGCCCCTCGCTGGCCGTTGCCATTCGGTGGCCCAGCCTGGCAGCGTCCACCCCCTGGCCAGTCATGTGCCTGGCAGCGTGTGGGGGGAGGGGGCCGGCGCGCCTCTGGCCCAAGCCGTGGGGCTGCCCTGTACTCCCTGCGTTCGGGGATTGGCCACTGAGGTGGGAAGGCGAGGCCTGTCCCCAGGGGGGGCTCCCAGAGGTGAGGAGCCCTGGCTGCCTCCGCTGGTCAGGCACACAAGTGGCACATTGTGTGGGCCCCCCACGTGTGCACACACGAACACACACATACACAATGGGCCACTCTGTCCCTCCCCCTTCCATCTTTTCCCCTCCCCTCCCTTCCCCTCCCTTCCCTTCCCCTCTCTTCTCTGCCCCTCTCTTCCCTTCCCAACCCTCCCCTCCCCACCCTCCCCTCTAGGCTGGGCCTGGAACACTGGGTGCCTGAGCCAGGCATGGGAAGCCTGCGGCCTGGGCTGCCTGGCGCCGCCGCTGGACACACTGCATGCACACCCCATGCCTGCTCGCCCGCCCCAGCCCAGCTTAGCAACAGCGATGGGCACACATGTCCTGCGACTGCAAAGCAGCACTGGGCTTGGTGGGAAGCCACAGTGACTGGGTCATGGGTGGGAAACTGAGGCCCAGAGTGAAGGCCTTTGCCCAAGGTCACACACAAGAAGGATGCTGGAACCAAGAACCAGGCAAGCTGCAGTGAAGCCCAGCTTTGGAGTAGTGGAGAGAGCTGGGCCAGGACCAAGGGTAGGAGGCCTGTGCAGGAGGGAGTGCCCAGGGGCTACTGGGTCCCAGCTCCCTGCACCCCCACCCCTGCTCCTGTAGTCTCCGGCCCTGCCCTGTCTCCAGAGCCAGGTGGCCTCCCCCATGATGTCTCCCTCTGTCCTTGCTCACTGACATTTTCAGACACCCCCCCCCTACACACAGACACACACACACACACACACACACACACACACACTGGCAGAGGACTGCACCCGCCCATCATGTTCCCTGGACCTTCCCACTTGTAGGCCAGTGTGTGGGTACAGGGAAGGCAGGGCTCCCTGCCCTCACTCAAGCCAGGCAGGCCTCCAGGCTTGAGTGCCAGCCATGGCGCACATACACACAGGCACGAACATGCCCTCGCTGCCTTTCCTTCCTGTATTGCCTGGCAAACAAGGAACTGTGACACAAGGGATGGCGTGTGTGTGCAAGCACATGTGTCCTCCATAACCATTAGGTCGCCCTTGGTGACCATGGAGGCAGAAGCCTTGTGGTCCAGGGAGCTGAGCCACAGCCCCCCTCAACACTCCAACCCCCCCAGGACTGTTCACCTGGGGCCTCTGAGTCAGTGGCCACCCGCTGCACTGATTCACCCAGTGGGAAGTTATGATGGGGCTGCGGTGGAGCCTGGAGCTGGGGCTTCCCCCAGCCTCCCAGGGCCTCTGGAAGCTGGATTGGTCGCAAGCCTTCACCGCCTGGTTGTGGAGTTTGGGTCAAGCCCCTCGCCTGTGTGTCCTCCCTCAGGTGTGTTCCTTATTCCCTACATCCTGATCGCCCTGATTGGAGGAATCCCCATTTTCTTCTTGGAGATCTCGCTGGGCCAGTTCATGAAGGCCGGCAGCATCAACGTCTGGAACATCTGCCCCCTGTTCAAAGGTGAGCAGCCCTGGGCCAGCCCCTCTCTGCTCTCTCCCTCGGCCACTCTTTCCCTTTCCCACTGCTGGGACAAGGCTGGCACCCACTTAAGAAATCGCATCCTGTCTGAGCACCAGGCCTGGGGTCCATTGATGACCCCCCAAGACACGAGGGAAAGCTGGACACCATGCAGACCACCATGTGACCTTGGGCAGGCTAAGGGCTACAGGGGGGATTGGGCCTGTCCGCCAGGGGGAGAATGCGCAGGCCCAGCAGGGCTGGGAACACACTCGGCTAAGCTCACTTGGCTCACTGAGTGGAGGGCGGCAGGTACAAGAGACAACCATGGGAGAAGTGGCCTGGGGCCAGCTCTCTGAGGCCAGGGGGCCAGGCTGAGGGCTTGGATGGGAGCGATTGAAAGTTCAGGGTCTGAATGGAAGAACTAATAATGGCAAAGGTCACCTTAGAACCCCTTCTGTGCGTGGGTGGCAGTGTCCCCATCATCTCTGTAGGCCCTAGCAGGTAGGTTTCACTATTACTGCCTTTGAGGAGGCTGGGACACAGAGAGGTGAAGTGACTAGCTGTGACTGCCTGCTGAAAGGAAGTGCGAGATAGTCACCCTCCAAATCCAGGTCTAGCAGCCTTCCCCCTTGAAGGGGAAGACCCCAGGTCACCAGAAAGCCCCCCAAGTTGCTGAGTACTGTAGGCCACGGCGGGGGGGGGGGGGGGGAGCAGGTGAAGATACAGTGGGGCCTTGACTTACGAGTTTAATTTGTTCCGAGACCGAGCTCGATAAGGAGCTCGTTAAGGAGCTCATTAAGGAGCTCGTTAACTCAAATTACTCTGTCAACTCAATGCAAAAAATCAGCCGAGAGACAGCTGGTATCTCAAAAAACTCGTTAGTGGGGACACTCGTAAGTCAAGACCCCACTGTAGTGAGGCCCAAGAGAAGAGGCAGGTGTATGAGGCTAGGCAATCAACAGGACTTAATGCTCAGATGGGGCAGGAGCGGAGGTCTGGGGAGGATGCAGGTGAGGCCAGGAGCAGGGGCTTTGGGGCCAGGGACAGACTTTGGTCCCAGCATTGGGACTCTTACACAAGGGATAGTCCACGGGGCTCTGTCTGGAGCATGACAGAGAAAGACGTAATGGGAGGGAAGGTGGGGAGGGGGCGGACGGTGGCTGCAGGGAGCAGGATGTTATGGGGTGGTGGGAAGCCTGCACAGAAACTGCCCTCCTCCTAGGCCTGGGCTACGCCTCCATGGTGATCGTCTTCTATTGCAACACCTACTACATCATGGTGCTGGCCTGGGGCTTCTACTACCTGGTGAAGTCCTTCACCACCACGCTGCCCTGGGCCACGTGCGGCCATACCTGGAATACTCCCGACTGTGTGGAGATCTTCCACCACGAAGACTGTGCCAATGCCAGCCTGGCCAACCTCACATGTGACCAGCTTGCTGACCGCCGGTCCCCTGTCATCGAGTTCTGGGAGTAAGTCAGGTGCCTCTGGACCAGGCCCAGCCCGGGCCTCTCTCTGGGCTCCGCACGCCGAGTCTGCGTGGGTTGGGTGGGTTGGGTGGGTTGGGTGGGACCCAGCCCTGGGGGGATTCCCGGCAGGAGTCACTCCTGGGCCCTGCCTGCCCCCGGGGGACCCCCAGGCCAGTCCCTGGGGGAGCCGGGAGGGATGGGCCTGGTTTTTTCAGCACCGTTTCTCACTCCGGGTGCCGTCGCTCTGCGGTGCCTGACAAGGGGAAGGGGAACGGCCGCTCTGTGTGCTAGGGTAGCCACTAGCCCCATCGCAGCCGCCGTCCAGGGGCTCCCGGGCTCCAGGCACACACACTGCGTGGCCTCCAGGGACAGGCTTGGGCCCGGGCCTCGCCCAGGTGCTCAGGAGGGACCAGCTGGACACCGGGGCTGCAGGAGCGGGAGCACCAGCCCTGGGACAGCTCCCAGCCGCTCTGCCCTCTGCTCACACGGCCCTCGTGGGCCCGCCCTCCCCAGGAACAAAGTCTTGCGGATCTCCGGGGGACTGGAGGTGCCAGGTGCCCTCAACTGGGAGGTGACCCTGTGTCTGCTGGCCTGCTGGGTGCTGGTCTACTTCTGTGTCTGGAAGGGGGTCAAGTCGACAGGAAAGGTACAGCTGGAGGCGGGCAGGGCTGGGGGGGATGGCACGGCTGGGGGGCAGCACTGCCTGGGCAGGGGGTCTCTGCAGGAACCACTGTTGCAACAGGTGACTGGGCCAGGGCCTAGGCCTGGGAGGGGGCAGGTACTTCAATCCAGGCCAGGTGATCCCCACCCCGTGGCTGGGCAGTCCTCCCTCCCCTCCAAATCCAGGTCTAGCAGCCTTCTCCCTGAGGGGGAGAAGCCCAGGCAGCAGCTGCCCTGCCCCTGTGTTGGGCATCCCCGGCCCCTCCCTCCTTCCTCGTTCCTCTCTGTTCCTCACTCAACACCTGAGTCTGTTTGGACAGTCTGGGTGGACCTGCTGTATGGCTGTCTTGCCTGCCTGTCTGGCCCAGGGTCGCGTCTAGACACACGCCTTCCCCAGAAGCTCGCTGTCAGGTTCGGGAGACAAATGTGTGAACAGGCGCATAATAAGACAGCGTGCCGAGGGCTGTGGGACATGGCCAGGTCCCTGGAGGGCTGGCGCGTTCCCCAGCAGGGTCTGAAGAGCAGCCGCTTCCCGAGCTGGCGGTCCCACTTGGATGGAAGGCAGAGGCTTTTGCCGTCCGTCTCACTCTTGCCCGTCTCTGGCTGGCCCACTTCTAATCCCAGCTACCGAGGACCCCGCCTCTCTGCAGAGGATGGCCTGGACCTGCCTCCAGGCCGCTGTCCCACTCTCTGCCCAGGGAGGGCTCTGCCCGGGGAGGGCCCTGCCTCTCCCCTCCCTCTGCAGCCGACCTGCGCTTGCCATGGGGCTGCTAACGCCCAGCCAAGCACCTGGCTTCCTTTGGAAGGAGCCATGGCTCTGGGGAGTCTCAGGGGGAGGGGGGCTGCTGGCTGGCTCATTCCTTACCTCTGAACACACTGTCCAGTGGGGGGGGACCGTGGCCTGCCCTGCTCAGGCTGCTCAGGGGGCCTCTGAGGGGGAGGTGGGTGCCGCTGGGCCCCTCTGAACAGCATGGCCCCCCAGATCGTGTACTTCACCGCTACGTTCCCCTACGTGGTCCTTGTGGTGCTGCTGGTACGTGGAGTGCTGCTGCCTGGCGCCTTGGATGGCATCATCTACTATCTCAAGCCTGACTGGTCGAAGCTGGGGTCCCCTCAGGTGAGGCGGAGGTAGTGGGAGGGAGACCAGGGGCCAGCCCAACAAGGCCCCTCACACCTACTCTGCCCTGGCCCGTGTCTAGGTATGGATAGATGCTGGGACCCAGATTTTCTTCTCTTATGCCATTGGCCTAGGGGCCCTCACAGCCCTCGGCAGCTACAATCGCTTCAACAACAACTGCTACAAGTAAGGACCTCTGCCCCGCTCCCCTGCCCTGCCTGCCCATGGGCAGCAAGCAGGCAGCCTAACCAGCTCCTGTGGTCCCCTGTGTCCCCAGGGACGCCATCATCCTTGCACTCATCAACAGCGGGACCAGCTTCTTCGCTGGCTTCGTGGTCTTCTCCATCCTGGGCTTCATGGCTGCAGAGCAGGGCGTGCACATCTCCAAGGTGGCAGAGTCAGGTAAAGAGCCTGGGCCCCAGCCTGGCCTCTGGAACAGAAGCTGCTGTCCTAACATACCTACCGTGTGCATGAACGCACATACAAATCTACATTCTGAGAAAATTAAAAAAATCAACTCAACGTTGTCACACTGCTCTAGGCCAGAGGCAGGCCTGGATGAGCAACTGCAAGGCACAGCTGTTCCAGCCAGCTTAGTGGGCCTGGCCACCTGGAGCCTTGAGCTCCAGGCCATCCATCCCCGGGGGCCTCTGGGTATGCTCTCATATTTGCCAGTGTTGCAGAGGGGAAGGAAGGCCTTTCCAAGGTCAAAGGTAACCAGAAGCCCAAACCAGATACCCTCCTCCTATAGGCAGTCTGCCAAGGGACCGCAGGAGCCTTCCAGCCCCTGGGTGGCACACCCACAGCAGGCTCAAGCCGTTCAGCAGTGCCTTGATATGAGGGGAAAGGCCTTTGGCCAGGGGCCCTGGTGTCTGCAGTCCTGGTACCACGAAGCAGGGGTGGGGGACAGGAAGTGGGCATAGCCACAGGTATTCACATCCTGCCTCTTTCCCTCTTAGGGCCTGGCCTGGCCTTCATCGCTTACCCCCGGGCCGTCACGCTGATGCCCGTGGCCCCACTCTGGGCTGCCCTGTTCTTCTTCATGCTGCTGCTGCTGGGCCTTGACAGCCAGGTTTGCAGTGGGGACAGGACAGAGGGGAGGGGAGGGGAGGGGCTGGCAGGTGGGCAAGGCCCATGGCCTGAACACCTGGCCACAGTTTGTAGGTGTGGAAGGCTTCATCACAGGCCTGCTGGACCTCCTCCCGCCCTCCTACTACTTCCGTTTCCAAAGGGAGATCTCTGTGGCCCTCTGCTGTGCTCTCTGCTTTGTCATTGACCTCTCCATGGTGACTGATGTGAGTGGGGCAGGGTAAGGGCTGCCTCTGGCCCCTGGCTGCCATCTGCCACCTGTCCTGACCTGGCTCTATCCCTAGGGCGGGATGTACGTCTTCCAGCTGTTTGACTACTACTCGGCCAGTGGCATGACCCTGCTCTGGCAGGCCTTCTGGGAGTGCGTGGTGGTCGCCTGGGTATACGGTAGGTCTGGGCTGAAGGGCAAGAGGGGCTGTGGCATGGAGCAGGCGTGGTGGGTCTATAGTTCTAGCCATCCCTTCACCCCACCCCAGGAGCTGACCGCTTCATGGACGACGTGGCCTGCATGATTGGGTACCGTCCTTGCCCCTGGATGAAATGGTGCTGGTCCTTCTTCACCCCGCTGGTCTGCATGGTAAGGGCCAGGAAGGCTGGACTGGATGGGGCAGGGCACCTCAGTTCACTGGCTAATTGCAGATTCTCTCCACAGGGCATCTTTATCTTCAATGCTGTGTACTTCAAGCCACTGGTCTACAACAACACCTACGTGTACCCGTGGTGGGGCGAGGCCATGGGCTGGGGCCTGGCGCTCTCCTCCATGCTGTGTGTGCCCCTCCACGTGCTGGGCCGCCTCCTCACGGCCAAGGGGACCATGGCTGAGGTCAGTTCTTCAACACCGCCCCTCCCTTCTGTTTTAGTCAAAGCCTTACCTCCAGATTGTCTGTACCCTGACCCCCAGGATGGGTCATTGTACCAGAAGCCTCTGGGCCAGCTGGACAAAAGGGACACTGGCTATCAGGGTCGTGGCAGGGGGAGGCGGCCTATCCCTAGCTTCCATTCTCAGCCACATAACCCTGTCTCCCTGGTGCAGGGAGTAGTGCCTCGTCGGTGTCTCGGGAGGAGCAGCCCTGGGCCCTGAGTTGGTGGCAGGTGGTGGTGGTGGAAAGAGGCCAAGGACAAGCAGGTGCCCCTCCCCAGGGGCTCACGATGTCCCTTTCTCCTGCAGCGCTGGCAGCACCTGACGCAGCCTGTCTGGGGCCTCCACCACTTGGAGTACAGAGCTCAGGACTTGGAGGTCAGGGGCCTGACCACCCTGACCCCAGTGGCTGAGAGCAGCAAGGTGGTGGTGGTAGAGAGTGTCATGTGACAGGGCCGGCTCCCAGTGCCAGCTCTCCCTCTTGTAGCCATAGCAGCCCCTGCTTTAGCGCCTCCAACCCCTCCAGGGGGCTTGCCTTTCCCTGACACTTCTGGGGTCTGCCTGGGGGGGGAGGGGAGGAAGCACCATGAGTGCTTGTAACTAAAATAACTTTTTCCATTTTTAATAAAATGCCAAAAATACCACAACCCACCAAAAATAGATGCCTCCCCCCACCAACCAAGCTGGTGCCCACGCTGCTTCCCAGGCCCTGCCGCCTGCCCTCCCCCTAGTGCCTGCTGCCTGTCCAGGCTCTGCCCAACACACCCGTGGGTGGCTCCTCACTCCAGAGGCAGCAGTGGCAGCTTAGGGAACAGAACGGGAAAGGGGAGGGAGGAGAGAAAGGGGCAGCGGAACCACAGTGAGTATTTCAACTGGGCTAGACCCCTCTCCCCATCCCTAATCTAGAAGCTTAGAGAGCCAGCCAGCAATGGGACCTTCTGGTTCCTGCGCCAATTGCCACCAATATCAATTGTGTGAGCTTGTGTATGAGTGCATGTGTGCGTGAGTATGTAGGGCACATATAGATCTCTATCTCTTAGCAAAGGGGAAAACCAGGTGTACACTGTGCCTGTGGGCAAATGAGGCTTGTATTTTGCACATTTTATAAAAACTTGAGGAGAGAGATTTCTGCTTGTATATTTCTAAAGAGAAAACAGCCCCGAGGTCCCTCTCCTTGCCACTCCCTGTCCTTTCAGCCCCTCCTTAATTCCTCTGCCCCAGCCAAGGAGTGTGAATTTATAGATGTAATTTTCATAGGCAAAACAAGAGCTTCAAGCTGTGCGAGTTTGTCGTGTGGGTATGCATGTGCGGTCCCCGGCCCCAGGCTGAGGTGGAAAAGTGCACAGTAGGGGCCTCGAGGGTGTCCTGCTACCCCTCTGCCCACAAGTCGTGGGGGTGAGTAGGTGCAGTGTTCTGTCCCAGGAATCTGGGGCTGCTCACCTGGCATGCTCAAGCTTACCCACCACACCCTGCCCCCGGGGCTGGGCTGGGCAGACTGCAGGGATCTGAGGTGGGCACCAGCCAGGGAAGGGATCCAGGCTTGGCTCCAGCCTGCGAGCTTAAAGCTGATGCACTTTTCACGTCTCAAGTCTTCCACGTAGCAGCTTTACTTAACCCACGTCTGTGTCATATCTAATCCCGGGACAGCCGAGTGGACCCTAGAAAGACTTCCCCCACACCCTGACATCAGCTGGAGGGGAGGGACTAGGCGAGGGCGGGGGGCCAGCGGGGACATTCTTACTGTGCTAAAAGCCACTGCAAACATAGCAATAAAAACATGTCATTTTCCAAAGCTGGCTCCTGTTCTGCTTGTCTGGGCGTTGGGGGTGGGACTGGAGGTACAGGGGAGGCCTCCCCACCTCGAGCTGTTTCCTTGGGCAAGTATTTGTTCTGGGGGTCTCCATACCCGAGTGTTCCAGGAACTGGGACTAGAGCAGGAAAGGAAGCTGACAGAAAGTCTTTCCCCCAAGGAGCTGACACACTTGGGGAGAAAGGATAATAGTATGCGACAGAAGCACACACCAAGCAGGGCAAGTGGGTGTGAGGTCACGGGCAGTGGGTGGGAAGTCACGGGTGTAGATTTTCCAAAGGTTGCCCAAATGCCACACTGAACACATGACTCTCCAAGATGCAGGCGGCAAGGGGCAGGCAAGGTGGAGAGGTGAGGTTACAGCAGAGCCGGGGGAAGGTGGAGATCACTGGACCAGGACACCAGCAGTGGAGGGAAGAAGTGTGGATCGGAGATCAGTTTGAAAGGCGGGAAACAGGGCTTGTGGACCACCAGAATGCAGGGTTGAGTCAAAAAGGCCTCAAGAAATTGAGCATGAGCACCGTGAAGGGTGGCATTGCCAGGCCCTGTGCCAGGGAGACGAGGTTTGAAAGGGATGGTGGTGTCATCTGACTAGAGACCTCTATGACGGCGGTTGGACAAGAAGCCTGGAGCTCTGGAAAGTCTGAATTGAAGAGAGAACTTAGGAAGTTCTCAGCACATAAAGACAGCCCGGAAAGCCCTGAGCCTGGATGAGCTCAGCCAGGGCAGCCAGGAGTGGGTGCAGAGGGAGAGGCGGCCCAAGCACTGAGCCCTGGGGCCCTGGGACACCCAGAGGTGGCAGAGGAGGGGCTGGTTAGTGGGTGGGATGGACCCCAAGAGTACAGACCTGATCCTGGAACATGTCTGAGGAACACCCCCGCCCCCATTGGGGTCAGGAAAGAGAGTGCTCGGCTGTCAGATGCTAATGGTCAAGGGAGCGAGGGCATGCCCGACCGGCATGGCTCAGTGGTTGAGCATTGCCTATGAATCAGGTGGTCAGGGTTTGATCCCCAGTGTGGGGTATACAGGAGGCAGCTGATCAGTGGTTCTCTCTCATCATTGATGTTTCTATCTCTCCCTCTCCCTTCCTCTCTGAAATCAGTAAAAATGTATTTTTTTAAAAAGGGAGCGAGGGCCTGAGAAAATTGGCTGCATTTGATGACAAGCTCATGGAGACCTGGACAAGAGAAGTTTGGGTTGGGGGTGTGCAAAAGCCTGATTGGAGTGGGATTAAGAAAGAAGGGCTGGAGCCTTAGCCAGTTTGGCTCAGTGGACAGAGTGTCGGCCCACAGACAGAAGGATCCTCAGTTCCATTCTGGTCGAGGGCACGTACCCGAGTTACCAGCTCGATTGCAGCCCTGGTCATGTGGCTCTCTCACGTTGATGTTTCTGTCTCTCCCCCTCCCTTCTACTCTCTTTAAAAATCCGAGGAAAAATATCCTCGGATGAGGATTAACAAAAAAAGAAAGAAGGGCTGGAAACAACCTAAGTGTCCATTAACAGAGGAATACATGAACAAAATGTGGTCTATTCATACGGTGGAATATTATTCAGCCTATAAAAGGAAAATCTGACACACACTACAACATGGATGAACTTGAGGACATTATGCTAAATGGAAGGAGTCAGACACAAAAAAGGCAAACACTGTATGATTCCATGCTAGGCGGCCGCTAGAGGAGTTAGATTCAGAGAGACGGAGAGTGGGCTGCTTGGTGCCAGCGGCTGGAGGAGGAGGAGGATGGGGGTGAGTGCTTAATGGAGCAGTTTCAGTTTTGCAAGATGAAAAGTTCTGGGAATGGATGGCAGTGACACACAATGACATCCTTGACGCCAATGAAGTGTAATCTTAATGATTAAAATTGAAGTTTCAGGTTACATATATTTTAGCACAACTTAAAAGAAGGGTGGGAAAGAACTGGAGACAATGGCTCCATTCAGGTCCTTGTGGGCAGGACCTCAAGCACGAGAGGCTTCAGCCTTAGGTGAGAGCCGGGTGCTCTATCCAGTGCCACAGGAGGGAGGGCAGGATAAGGCATGGGCGCTGGGGGTGGGGGGGCAGGGGGGAGGCGATGTCAGGACCAGCCCAGTCATCAGCTGAGGCAGGCCTGGGGTGAAAGTCAAGGTTTAGGAGCCTGGTGCTCACTCTGGATGTTAGCCTGGACCCTCAGAGAAAAGTGACAGTTTGTTCCTCTCTGGGCTCTTTATATAGCAAGGCATTGTCCCCTTAGAAAGGAAGGCCTTTTGCCCCAACTGTACAGCCAGGGAGGGCTCTGGCCTATGATGCTACCATCAGCCATGCTCTGACGGTCACCAAGATCCTGGACAGGGGACAGGTCCTCAGAGCTTGGGAAGGCCTTTCTACAGCCTGTGCTGGCGCAGAGGAGACGCCTCCCCAACAGGCCAGCTCCTGTAGAACACCTGACAACCTGCTCTTCAGACTCAACCCCTGCCCCACCCTTCTCTTAAAGCTTCTCACGATGCAACCCCTCAGCTCTCATTATGCCTGCAACTTCTAGAACCCTGTGTGCTGGCAGCTCCCACATCTCCAGCCTGGCTCCTAGGGTGATGAGGCTCCTCACACCAGGTCCTGGCCCCTGGCGATTCCTCCCCACCAGCTGGACAGAGCCTGGTATCATCGCCCTCAGGCCCACTCTCCATTCCCACTCCACCCCAGCCTCACACCAACTCCTTACCCTCTCCACTCCCTAACAGGGATGCCATGCCTTGGCTCAGATCTTTGTCACTTCTTGCCAAATGGCCTCCAAGCCACCTGCCACACCACCACCAAAGACTCAGAAAACACTGACATCACCAAAAGAGAACCTGACAGAGGGTGGGCTGCCTGGCTGGGGCCAGGAGAGCTGTGGGCAGGCACCATTTACTCAGGAGGCTGCCCCGAGGTAGGAACTTGTGACACAGGGACAGGCAATCTAAGCGGAAGACAGGGAGGAAGTGGATCAGCCAGGGGGCCAGCCAGGTGGGGATGCTGGGGACAATTCTGCTAAGAGGAAGGCTGCTGGAGGAAAATAACTCAGGAGTAGCCAGAGGGGCTGGATACCGCAGCTGGAGACTAGGTGGGTGCCTCGCCTTCCACCTCTAAGAGTCTGTGACCCCCAGCTACGCACTCCTCTGCTCTGCCCAGCCCAGGGTCTGATGCCAAGGGGACTCAGAGGCTGCTCGGGGCTGGCCAGGAAAGAACCCAAAGCCACACTGGTTGGACTCTGGCCTCTAGAAGTTTGAAGGTTGAGTTCAGAAGACCATGGTCGTCAGGGAACACTTCCTGGAAAAGCGGGACAAGCCTTTGGCCTTGGCATAGCAACCAGAGGGTGTCACCTGGGGGCCCCTCCCAGTAGGCACCACCCAGGGAGAAGTGGGAAGAGACAGACACTGGAAAAGGGAGCCACCAGCCCAGGCCTGGCCGGGGCAGGAGGGGAGCACAAGGCTGGTTATCAGGAGGGGAGCACAAGGCTGGTTATCAGCATCACCATCTTCAGGGACCCCCCCCCCTAATTCCAAAAGAATACACCCACCCCACCTGCTCCCCAGGTCCCTTGCCCAGTCCTCAGGTTGGCAGCCCTAGCCACCCCTGCCCTCACCCTCAGGCTGACCCTAAGTACTAGGCCCTGCTCCATGGAGGCTACCTACAGAAGCCAGCCTAGGGGGGTGCTGAGGGGCAGCAGGCTGGAGAAGCAGGCTCTCTGAGCAGACTGGCACACCTGCCATGTTCTCAGAGCTGCACCCAACCAATCCAGAGCCCCTCCCCTCCACCTAGCTCTGCCCTGGGCCAGTCATAGGTCACTGCCAAGGGCGAGACTCCTCTCCCAGCCGGCA